CGCGTGACACTGCTCCCCAAACGCGACCCGGGACACGGCTCGCCAAACGGGACCCGGGACACGGCTCCCCAAACGGGGCTCGGGACACGGCTCCCCAAACGCTGCGGGTGCAGGCGGCGAATCCAGGGCCGACCACAAGGGACTCGGGCTGATCCATTCGCTGCTGCAAGCGGAACATCCCGGACGGAACCCGAGGCCGGGGCTGCGGGAAGCGCCGCCGCGTCCCCTCCTGGGGACAGGCAGCCAGGTGCCACCCGCCTCCCACGCCAACGAGCAGCTTTGCTCCAAAACTCGAGGTGTTTCTACAATACTTTGCCCCAAAGGAAGCAACGTCAGCATCAACAGCCTGTAAGATGCCATTCCAATTACAAAGGGATGCCGTGCAGGTTAATCCTTTCCAAGTACACGCTGCTTCCCCTGTCCCGCTAATGACCCGCACGGTGATCAGAGGGGAGCGTTTCCAGTGCCCAGCAGAACAGTATTAGCCAAGAGCCTCTGGAATTCCCCTCTCGCCGCCCTGCACGGAAGGTTGCGCCAGGAGGGGGGTCGGGAGCTTCAAGAGAGCAATTGACTTCTCGAGATCTGTTTATTTTTTGCACTTTGCTCAGAATAAACACTGAAAACAGAAGTCGTTTTTACTATCTCGTTTCCCGAGCCTGCCAGGTCCCAGCTCAGCATGGGAATGTTTGGGTTTGACACGCAGCAAGGCAAGGTTTAATGCCAAATCAAAGCGTTTCTCCCGGAGAGCTTTCCCAACGCAGGTAGCTGCTGTGTTTGTGTAAAGCACCTCCCTTCCCCACAAACAGAGGGCCGCGCTCAGCCCCGGCTCCCGCTTTGATGTGGGGAACGCGGCCGCCTCCGCCAGCGCCGGGGCTGCCTCTGAGCAGACGCTCTCCATAGAAAGCGTCTTAATTAGAACTGAAAGCACTTGAGCTCGTACAGCCGAGGGCAGCTAAAACCAGAGCAAAACAACAGCAGGCCCGGGGAGGCCGCTGCTTGCAAGAGTTCCCGGGCCTGCTGGCCTGTCCCGTCCCCCTTTGCAGCCTCCTCCTGTCTCTAGGTGCGGAGCCCGGAGCAGAGGAACAGAACGAGCCCCGGGCACCTTTTGGGGACATCCCCACCCTGGCAAACGCAGCACCCGCGTTCAGGTGGAAACCCCTCCGCACCCGAGACCCTGCTCGGAGCCCGTGGGCGCCGGGACACGGCCCAGGGACCCCGCAGAGCCCACGCTCCTGGGAACGCGCCAAGGGGACGGAGCGGACGGGCCCCGGCG